AATACAAATATTATGAAACACAAATTTATTAAAATTCGTATCTTTTCTGATTTATATAAATTCTTCAAAATTCAATTTTTTGATATTCGTATATTTTGTGCTATTGCTCCGGAAATACCTCAAAAAATCTTTAATTCGAGAATTACTGATTGTAACTAATCACGGTTAAAAAACATCAACGTATGATGTTTTATAGCACGATACTTTTCAAATTCCTGAACACGTGGTTTTCTATCACGCATCGTTAATCGCGGTATTATTGTCCAAATATATTTTGCTCAGTGAGGTCAAACGACGATTTACAGCTTTTTTTCGTCGTACACATCTGTGTACCCTTAATCCGTCGCTGATATCTAGTTTTATCGACCGCAACCGGCACTACGTGTACTTTTCTGATTCTATATTTACGAAGCTTTTCATCTATGAATATTTGTTTTAGCAATTCAATCACACATCAGGGCCACAACCGGTCCTGCCGCTGGAACGAGGTGATATCGAAGGGCCTGCAAACAGTAACGATGATGAATACGACAGTTCGTTGGGATGGAAAGATTTAAACAGATTTATTACGGACAACGAAGGTACTTGGACAACATGCCGCCTCATTTTCGCTGCTATGATTTATGTGAGAAATAGAAGGATGTATAATATACAATTACATCTAGTCCTTCTTCCCTTGATCTCTTCAGAATTGCAATATCACTAGATAATAAAGAATTTGAGTTTTCGATTTTATCATAAGAATAATGGTATCGTTATCTATGATAATTTTACGATAAAATTAATGTCAATTTCTTACAATTAAAATAAATATTTGAAGAAGAAAAGAGAGAGAGAAGAAAGTGAGAACTTGTATAACAAATATTCATATTAAAATGTTTTTCTAAATAGCTACATTTTTGCATAAAAATTTATATTTGTTATTGCTTAAATAAATAAAAAGAAATCAATATATACTCTCTTTCTCTAATTGTAAGTAAATATTAGTATACTATGTTCCCCATGTGCAGAAAATTCGTCTTCGAGTTGAATATTATTTTCATCGCGTGCAACGAGTTATTGTTTCGTTCTCTAAAATTTGGCAGTATAAGGAGCGATAAAAATATCGGAAGCTACTATAAGAATTTCGGCATTGAATTTGTTGATTGGCATGTCTAGGATCCGAGGACCCGAGAAAACGAAACAGCAGTATCACGGCTGGTCATTACAGTCCCGACGAGAGGACTCGACAATGGAGTTATTATAGGAATAGGACCAATCCTTACGGTCAAGGTTATCCGAGCCGATATCCTTACGATCGACAATCGCAGGGTGGCTATGACAGATATCCTGACGGAGGCGGCGCGTCGGGATTAGGAAATGACGAAAATCGACCAGGTGGTTATCCTAACGGTCATGGCGAAGGATACTACGATACATACAGCGGTAATTAATCTTGACTCGGAAGATTATATGAGAGACGAATTATGTGTTCTGCTTCAAATGCCGAGGCTGATTTTATAAAAAAGAAGAGCTTTTTATAAAATATTTTTAAATATAAAAAAGGCTTATATAAAGGAAAAATATATAATTTATATTTTAGAGTATTATAGCTGAGCGAAATCACATACGCAGAATTTTTTTAGAAAAATATTTTAATCTTAAATCTTTTCTCTTCTGTAACTTTTTTATGTTCAAAAATTGACATTTTTTAAGATGTATTCTCAGAGATACACATTTTTACTTAGCTCGTTTTATTTCTCATTGGCTTAACTGTAATTATTCGTAATTTTCATGTAGGTGCCGGTGAAAGTGAACGAGGAGGAGGAGGAGGAGGAGGAGGTTCTTACAATTATGGCCAAAGAGGTTCCAGTGATCCTTATAGTGGCAGTTATGGGGGGAATTATGATGCGAGAGGTGCGGATGCTTATGGTCGTGAAAGCGGCGGTCGTGGAGGAGGAGATGCTTATGGTGGCGGTCGTGGCGGTGGAGAAACGTATGGTGGCGGTCGTGGCGGTGGAGAAACGTATGGTGGCGGTCATGGAGGTGGAGATACTTATGGCGGCAGTCGTGGGGGTGGAGATACTTATGGCGGCGGCCGAGAAGACGGAAATACTTACAGCGGCAGTCGCGGAGGCGGTTATGGTGGTTACGGTGGTGCCAGTCTCTCCACCGGAGACAACGAAAATTATCCAAGCAATTACCACGTGGTACCAATGCCTGGAACACCTAGTAATTGCAGCGGATCAGGATGCTGCGCACCCAAGTGTTTCGCCGAAAAGGGCTCACGGGTTAGTTTTCGAAAATTTTTACCATAGTTAAGACATCTTTATATATATATCATAATCATTTATTCTCACTCTTTTCGTAAATTACTTTTTATAAATAATCGAAAATTTGGAAAAATAAAATATTTTAAAACTATTTTTATCTTTTGTTAATCACATTTATAGAATTTTAATATCTTTTATGTAATTTCTGGAATTCTCACCAATAATTCTATTTATCATGATATTTTTTAGGGGCCTCCTGGATTAATTGGACCGCAAGGTCCTAAAGGACAACGAGGATTCCCAGGAGCGGAAGGTCTTCTAGGTCCTAAAGGTGAAAAAGGAGATCCCGGCCCGCAAGGTCCGCATGGTGTGAAAGGTGACAGAGTACGTGTTTCTCGTATGATGATGATATTAAACTCAAACTTTCTCCAAGGAATAATTTTATGTTATTAAAGGGAAAAATCGGTATGCCTGGTTTTCCCGGTATAAATGGTGTGCCTGGAGTACAAGGACCACCGGGATCTCCTGGTTTCCCCGGTCGTGATGGATGTAACGGAACAGACGTAAGTACTATTCGATAATGAAAGATAATCTTAAAATAATTACATTCTATAATTAGTTTAATTTGTATTTAATATCTCTTATTAAATATCTACTTTTTAAATTTGACAATCATCTAATAATAATTTTCTATTAACATGTTTTATTAAAAACGGTTATATTGTCAATATGTTATTAATATTTATGTTATTACGAGAATATATTTCAAGTTTGTAATATGCGTTTTAGGGTGCTCCCGGACGTGACGGTGTTCCCGGAGAACCGGGACCTCGTGGTTTTCGAGGAGTGTCCGGTCCTAAAGGAGAAAAGGGTCAACCAGCGTATGCTGGTGCTTTCCCCATCGGACAAAAAGGTGAACCTGGTATGGACGGTGTAAGAGGACCCCCCGGTCCACCTGGTTTGCAAGGAGACCGAGGCCTATCTGGCCCGAAGGGTGAACGAGGCCCTTATGTAAGTATCGCTCAAATTTGTCGATTATAGCTTCCTTAAAAATATTTCTTGCATATATATATATATATATATATTATATATAACTCTAGGGTACCTCCGGCATACCAGGTCCGAAAGGAGAGAAAGGTAACATGGGTCTCGGATTCGAAGGATTAAAGGGAGATAAAGGTCAAAAAGGAGACTCAGGACCTCCCGGTTCGACTGCGCCTATTATGCCGTTCTCGGGAGGAACCTCGGAAGTAACTGGTCCGCCCGGAGAACAAGGGCATAAAGGAGATAAGGTACATGAAAAAATGTTATCGATTTTGCGTTATAATATGTTCTAACTCGATTCTCTAACATTTAGGGTGAATCGGGACCGGAAGGGCAAAGAGGAGAACCAGGATTCATAGGTGATCACGGTATACCCGGAGGATCAGGTCACAAAGGAGAGAAGGGTCTTCCGGGAGCTCCAGGTATTCGTGTAAGTATACAAAATATTTTTTAAAATTTAAGTAAAAAAAATATGAAAAAATAAAAATAATATATGCGTATAATGAATAATTAATTCATTGTATTATATGAAAAAGAATCTTTTCTTCAATTTCAGGGTAGAGATGGTTTCTCTGGACCTCCTGGACCTCCTGGGCGAAAAGGTGATCGAGGTATTGATGGATTGGAAGGACTTTCTGGACGCCACGGCAAAAAAGGAGAACCTGGTCGAGATGGACCAATGGGTGTCCCAGGATTACGTGGACCTCCTGGACCACCGGGAGTAAGTCTTATTCTTTTAAATTTTATATATATACATATTAATTTAAAAAAATAAGATCTACATATTACATATATTAATTTATATTATATTAAGACACGTACAGAAAGGGACAAAGAGGGAAAATTATTTTTATAATTATTATTAGTATTACACTCACGAAGTTGATATGCCGTTTTTTAAATTGAGTATGATTTTATTAAATATTATGTTATAGGGTGGTAAAGGAAGACCAGGACCACCGGGACCAAAAGGTCCACGTGGTTTCCCAGGACCTACCGGACCGCGAGGAGCAGACGGTTTTCCCGGAGACCCAGGACCAAGAGGTCCCTTAGGCTTACAAGGAGGTCCCGGATTACCCGGAATTCCAGGTCCAGAAGGTTTACCGGGAGAGAAAGGTGGGAAGGGTGAGCCTGGTTTGACTGGATTTCCCGGAGGCCCAGGACCACGTGGATTTGACGGACCACCGGGACCAACAGGACCGCGAGGGCCGCCAGGAGAAAAAGGATTGTCGATAATGGTAAATATACAATTATGTATTTTGTCATTACGATTATTTTGCTGTGTTATTTGAGAAAGTAACTAAATCGTCACATATTTGGAATAGGGGCCAAAAGGAATGGATGGAACGCCCGCTTTTGATGGAGAAAAGGGTCAGAAGGGTGAACGAGGTTACGCGGGTGTCCGGGGCCGACCAGGAGATTCTCTGGATGGTATTCCAGGAGCTCCCGGTGTACCGGGTGAGACTGGAGAAGCGGGAGCACCAGGAAGAGACGGTATACCGGGTCTTCCCGGATCGACAGGAGAAAAAGGAGATATTGGCGGTCGCTGTATAGATTGTTTACCGGGATTGCGAGGTGAGAAGGGAGATCGTGGTACGGATGGTATCCCGGGTCTCACTGGACCTCGAGGACCGCCCGGAGAACGCGGCTTCCCTGGAGAACCTGGACAGGACGGATTACCAGGCACAATCGGATCTCCGGGACCACCAGTACGTTAATAATTCTGATTTAATTAATACATTTTTTATTATTCTGTGCTAAATATATTCCAGATATATATAAAATGTATGTTTTATTTCTTTAACTTTATAGTAACGTATGATAAAACAGTATGATAAAACCGTAGATTTTATTCCACAAAGTATACATATAACAAGAATTACGGTATATACATTTTAATTTCATACAATTTATTTGTAAATACATTTTTATAGCAAAAATATATTTAAATAAAAATTATTTCGAACAAGATTTTTACGTAAAAAAAGAGATATCGCGATACTGATATTGTTCTAAATTATATTATTATTACAGCATTTATATCTGCTTTACAGCAGCAGAAAGCTTCTCTTTGAACATTTAAGATACTTTTTTGTTTTTACGATAATTTTTCAAATCGATATTTATAAATCTATAAAATAAAACATTGCTTTTATTTCATTATATATATCAGATAATATTTTTTTATCTATATACTTTTTTATTTGTAAAATTTAATTAGAGAATTGATATGCATATACACATACATACTCATATATAATATATACATTATTATGTAAGATATACGTTATTGTAATTATGAATTCGCAAATAAAAAAAAATATACTAATTTTTCACTAAGGGAAAGGATGGTATACCCGGTGCTCCAGGACCTCAAGGAGAGTCTGGAACTCCAGCGACAGTGACATGGAATATGCTTAAGCTAGAAAAAGGTGATAAAGGAGCGCGCGGCGAGCCTGGTCGACAGGGCCCGCCAGGACCAGAAGGACCTCTGGGAGAGAAGGGAAGACCCGGATTTGAAGGATTCCCAGGACTTAAAGGCACTCCAGTAAGATTAATTTCTTAATTATTATTAATTTAAAAAATTATTAATATTTTTCTCTCTGGCAAAATTTCTATATATCAAATTAAAAAAATCATAATTTTTTAGGGAGATCGCGGATTCCCTGGACAGGATGGCGTTCCAGGAAGACCAGGTACGCCTGGACGCAAAGGAGAGAAAGGATTAAGCATAAAGGGTGAATCAGGAATACCAGGTAGACCAGGATCTGTAGGACAAAAAGGAGAACCTGGCCTATATGGTCTTAAGGGTGAAGCTGGTAAGATCTCGTCCTCTTTTTCAATTTTTATGTGTTTTGTTAGAATCCTTTACATATTTTTAAAAATATATCAGATATATATACATATATTTCTTTTTTACAAGATATGAAAGATACATTGATTATGAATTTTCCTGCAACTAGGTCAATGTCCGCCACTTAGGTTTATGAAAGGTTTCAAAGGCGATCGAGGTTTAACTGGAGACAAGGGAGAACTTGGACCACCTGGTAAAGATGGATTGCCTGGTGATAAAGGCTTGCAAGGTTTTCCGGTAATTAAGAAAACTAAAAATATTTGTGAAAAGATATTTTGTTTTGTCAGAACGCGATTATATATATGTGTATATAATCTTAAATATTTTTAATAATACACGTATGCGATTGATTTTTTGACGAACGCATTTTAATAAGTTATTTGATTAATACTTTAAATTTTCAATGTTGAAAAATAAACAATAAATCATTGAACTATTCACAAATAGCAATTAATATTACTTATCTACAAAGAACTATAATTTTAAAATAATGTTATTATTTGAAAATTAGGGTGCATCTGGTGTACCCGGTCCAATCGGTGCTCCTGGACCTGTAGGTGCGAGAGGTTTACCTGGCCCACGTGGTGATAAAGGCAACATGGGACCTATGGGATTCCCAGGAGAACCTGGTCGGGAAGGACCTAGAGGTTTCCCGGGTGCTCCGGCTCCGAAAGGGGACAAAGGAGAGTCTGGAATATCCGTCAAGGGCAGTCCTGGTTTAACAGGTCCTCCGGGTGAAAAGGGAGAGAAGGGTCTTCCAGGACCACCCGGAAAAGAAGGTCTAGTAGGTTATCCGGGATTACCAGGCTTTGCTGGCGACAAAGGAGACATCGGTGCACCGGGAATAAATGGTTTACCGGGAGCACCCGGTGAAAAAGGAGATACTGGTCCAGTTGGTCCACCTGGTCCTCCAGGTGTCGCTGGTCTTCCAGGAACCGATGGAAGCAAAGGTATGATGTAATATAAAAATTTTAATAAATTCAATTATGATATCTCATGACTTATGATTAAGTAAGAATATTCTTATTTATTACTGAGATTATAAACATTTAATACTACTTTTATTCTTTTAAATGCTTGTAATTTCAGTAAAAAATAAAAATATTTTTACTTGATAATAAGTCATGAGACGTCATAATTTAATTTGCTAAAATGTTTTTAAAAATGTCAATTTTTGTTAATGTTATTTGTTAAATATTAATTATAATTATTTTATAGGCGAGCCAGGATTACCGGGAGAGCCTGGTAGAGCGGGTCTTCCAGGATTCCCAGGCGCGAAAGGTGATCGCGGTGAACTAGGTATTGATGGAGCAAAAGGATATCCAGGCAGACGAGGTTTGCCTGGAACTCCAGGTAGACCTGGCACGGATGGTGAATTGGGTATAAAGGGAGAACACGGTGATAAAGGTTCGCCAGGATTCCCTGGATTACCGGGTATGGAAGGAAAGCCTGGTCGCCCTGGTATAGCCGGCCTGAAAGGAGATCAAGGACCAGTCGGTACGCCTGGTTTACCGGGACTAATCGGTTACGAAGGACCTAAGGGCGACACTGGATTCCCAGGACCACCGGTAAGTCTTTTTCATCTATTCATTCTATTTCATAATTATACACACATATTCATACATATATTATTATGTATATCCGACATTTAATTATGTAATCAGGGAAGAAAAGGAGAACCAGGACAAGTTTCGGAAAAAGGACAGAAAGGTGAGCCAGTAATGCCTGAAATACGAGGTCCTCAAGGCCCTTCAGGACGAGACGGTATTGACGGAGCAAAGGGAGAAGCTGGCAGACCAGGTATTGGTCATGATGGATTGCCTGGATTAAAAGGCGAACAAGGCACACGTGGTCGGGATGGATTGCCAGGATTTCAAGGTCAAAAAGGTGACACTGGCGTACGAGGATTCCCTGGAATAAAAGGCGATTTTGTAAGTTTAAATAATGTGAAACAAAAGTGTTAAAAAAAAATGTTATAATTATTTTATTTCTCTCCGTTATTATAATTAATAGGGCTCACCGGGTACACCCGGAGAACCAGGTTCGCCCGGGATAGATGGACTTCCTGGAGAAGTTGGCGACGTTGGACCACCGGGAGTACCTGGTTTTCCTGGGCTTGATGGCGAAATAGGTTCTCCCGGTCGGCCTGGACTTGATGGCGTTAAAGGAGATCGCGGTTTAATAGGTAAAAGATAAATACCAGATCTATATAAATGCCATTTAACGTTTTAACATGAATATAAGAACATAATATTTATCCAAACTAAAATTTTATTTAATTGTTAAAATTATTAGACTCTTTCACAATTAAATTAGATATATGCTAGATTTCTAAAATAATGTAAATTAGTGTTTTTTAATCATTTTACCTAATATTAAATTATTTCGTAATGCATTTTATATGCAATATAATCTAATAATGTTCTATCAATATATAAGAGTTGAACATATAAAATAACTGACAATAATTCATGTAAAAAAAACTGAATTTCAGGACTTGTTGGATTGCCTGGTATTTCTGGAGCATCTGGAGAAAAGGGAGACCGCGGTCCTCCCGGACCAACAATCCAAATTAAGGGTGAGAAAGGTGAGCCAGGTATATCTGGATTTCCTGGATCAAAAGGAGAGAAAGGAGATCAAGGACTAGTAGGTATAGCTGGTTATGACGGTGAAAAAGGTGACAGAGGTTTACCTGGATCAGAAGGATCTTCTGGGCCTCATGGTGCCCCTGGACCTAAGGGTATGTTCTCCAGTTATATAAAATTTCTTTAATAATTAAACAAAAATTATAAGACATTAATGTATATGTAATGGAAATCTGAAGAAAAATATTAAGCATACAATTTGTTATCTACAATATATGTTATAATAGTTTTATTATATTTTACTATATTTTGTACGAATTTTTATATGAAACATTGTACGTTTTATGAAGGTGAACAAGGACCTTCCGGAATTTCTGGCATCCCTGGAGTTACGATAAAGGGTGAGAAAGGTCTGCCAGGTTTGATGGGTAAGCACGGTAGAGATGGATTGCCAGGTCGACCCGGAGAAAAGGGTGAGCAAGGATTGCCTGGTTTGCCTGGACAGAAGGGAGATATTGGTCCTTACGGACCCGTTGGACCACAAGGTGAAAAAGGTAATCCAGGTCCACCAGGTCTGACTGGGTCATCAGGACGCGACGGAGCTCCTGGTCTTGAAGGTGTACCAGGGTTACCTGGTGAAAGAGGTCCAAAGGGTGATCAAGGACTGCCTGGATTACTTAGCCCCCCAGGAGAAAGAGGAGAACCTGGTCATCCAGGTAACCATCTTCACTAAACATTACTCTCATTTTTAATAAATGAAATATATATATAATTTAATAATTATTCTCTGAGAAAAATATTTTTCTTATTCAATAAATAATATGTTTATGCATAATAATATTCATTATTTCTCTTTTTCATTATTAAATCGAATATATCTACTTTTAAAGCATCATATCATAATATATTTAAAAAATAATAGACAATAATTTATTCATTTATTCATTTTTAGGACCAAGTGGATTGGATGGACCTGCAGGAGAAAAGGGTGAAAGAGGTTGGGACGGTGTTAATGGTCTACCTGGACCGCCTGGCGAGAAGGGTGATAGAGGATATTCTGGTGCAGTCGGATTGATGGGTGCCATTGGTTATGTAGGTCAAAAAGGTGAAAAGGGTGAGGACTGTATCGAGCCGCCGATGGGACCTAAAGGAGATCGCGGGTATCCTGGTATGTGCTCTGTTATACTTTCTCTAATAAAATGTATATTTTTTATAAGTTTATAAAAAATTTTAATATCTCTTGGCTTAAATTACTCGATGTTAAAAAATATAGCTTAAATACAAATGTTTCAATATTTTTGGAAAATTAATACAAAAAGAAAATACAAATTACAAAAAATAAAATTTCTACTTATCTTTTTATCTAAAAAAATATATTTGAAATATGATTGAGACTATATTATTTATACACGATGTAATTGAAATTATAAGCATAAACGTTTTCGCAGGATCATCCGGACCGCCTGGTCCCCCGGGAGAGAAAGGACTTTCGGGTCCACACGGTTTCCCCGGCTTGGATGGTATCAAAGGCGAGCAAGGTTTCATCGGTCCAGCAGGACCTGCGGGACTGCCAGGATTACCTGGACCAGTTGGTGCGCCCGGTCTACCGGGTCTTCAAGGTCCGGCCGGTTTGCCTGGACTTGTCGGAGAGCCTGGTGCACCGTGCGAAGCGACACCTGACTATCTCACCGGTATCCTTCTGGTCAAGCACAGTCAAAGTCAAACCGTGCCGGTTTGTGAGCCAGGTCACATCAAGCTCTGGGAAGGATACAGTTTACTCTACACTGATGGAGATGAAAGGGCGCATTCTCAAGATTTAGGTAAGCTTTTCGTATCACATTATCAATTTTTTTCAAAATAACAATTTATTTAAATTATATGATGTATTTAATAATATTTCTAACTCGATTTAAAAATAAACTATAAGTATAGTTATTAAGATTACGCGTCAAAATCATAAAAAATATTAAAAGATTTTGTTTCAATTTTTATTATAATATTTCTGAATTATATTCATAAATGCGTCATGATCCCTGGTCCGCATTTTCCATGCAATTTACGAGAGATTTACTAGATTTGTGCGATTAATCTCAATTATCTGCATTAAATTATCACTGCTGGTATTTGAATATTATGCACTTAAATTCATTATTCAGTGAATTTATATGCATCGTGCCACGTATTTTTATGCGATTGTTGATACGATTATGACTGTTCAGCATCTATGAAGCTAATGCATATTTGTATTTTGTAAAACAAGTCATGATTATATTTTTTTCCTGTGTCTCTGCATCGGATACTACAACCTACGAGATAAGTTACGATCTGTTGGTTTCAAAACATTGAAGAAATTATAATGGTGGCAGATTGACGCGCGATTTAAATTTTTTTTTTATGCAAACTAATCCAACTCGTTCTATAAATTATTGCAAAACAGGTTACGCCGGCTCGTGTGTCAGAAAATTCTCGACGATGCCCTTCCTGTTCTGCGACGTCAACAACGTCTGCCATTATGCTAGTCGCAATGATCGTTCTTATTGGCTATCGACCAATAGTCCAATTCCCATGATGCCCGTCGAGGAAACGGCGATAAGAGATTATATTTCCAGGTACGTTCAATATATATTATTGCGCGTTGTATCTCGCCGAGATTTTTGTTCCGAATGCACAAAGTTATGTACATTTCTTTAGAAATGGATATTTATAGAAGAACACAAAACCGAATTTTCTTTCAGTCACACATTTAAATTGGGGGAGTCGAATTTTCTATAGCAAAAACTTAAAGAAAAGTTTGTGTTTTCTCGAGATTTTTTTTTCTCTTATTTTCATATTATTAATTTTTATATATTAATAATTATATGTCAGTGTTTCTTTCAAATTCAAGTGTCATTCTATGATTAAATATCTGATTAAATTTTTTAATAAAATAAAATCCAATTTTTTGTAATAAGCTAAAAAAAAATTGTTTAATATGCATTTGTAGAAGCATCATGTGAGCTTGCTAATACTTATATAATTGTTCACATACAAGTTTACTTATTACAATTTTGCAATTTCCACGACAGGTGCGTGGTGTGCGAAGTTCCGGCTAATGTGATAGCGGTACACAGTCAATCGATAAACATTCCAGAATGTCCGACTGGATGGACCACTCTTTGGATCGGTTATAGTTTCATAATGGTAAGTAACTTTTTTTCCCTGAATTCTATTTATAATCCATAAAATAATATATTTTGCATTTTATATCAACTTTTGATGAAAATAAATGATATAATTTTCAGATTCACTTTTCAAGATATAAAAAAGTTATTAATATCTGGATATTCTGAATTACAATAAACATTTGATCAATTTGAAATTGCATATAGAAGATATAAAATATTGAATGAAATTAAATTATATAAAAGGTTAATGAAAAATATCGATCGAATTTGTTACAATGTTATAAAAATAGAGAAAATTAAAGCATTTATTATTCATCATGTGCAAAACTTCTAATGTGTGCTAACATTATTTTTAGAAGAAGAGGACTATATGTTTAAAATATTAATATTCTGTGTGCGGTAAATATCTGTGTTAGTTAAACAAATGATGTGTTTGGTGAAAAATCACATTTTGATCGTCTAACATTTATACGATTATTTTTTTCTACCATCATTTAAATTCAGAATTCGCTTCGCTATTCAATTCACTGCGCAGAGAGATCAATCATGTCCGAAATAAGGCAAACTTTCATCACTCAGGAGGCAAAGATTGTCTCTGCTGAAAGAGATCCATTTTGTCCAAGATGTTCTCTCTATATCAAAATTTCCCAGCGCTTCAACAATGACATTCGAATAAGCTAATAAGATGTCAGTTGTCACAGTTAGTCCGATTCTATTTTGATTAAGAGAGCATACTTACCCGTTTGAACCTTCGAAAAATGAGTACATTTTTTAGATTTTTTTTGCAGCGCAACGATTTAATAAAAATTTTTTAATTATTAAGTACTTAAACAAAAATTCTCAGCTTAAAAAAAAATTTTTTTTATAGTTATGCGAATATTTGCAGATTTTTATTTTCATGCACGGTGTGCATGAAAACTCGGGCTACGTCCGACGGATTGACTTCAAATTTTGCATGCGAGTTCCTAATAAGATTCCGCATCTGCTAACGAAGCCTTTTTTAAATCTGATTTTCCATTTTTTGTTATAAACAAAAAAAGGTGGACTTCTTTTCAAAAAAAAAAACGAAACTTTTTTTCAACACGCCATTATTTCTTTATTTTTTTAAATTTTGAAAAAACGCTTGGATAGCAAATAGTTATTCATATGTTTAATAAAAAAAAGCTTGTATTTTTTATTTCGAATATGATCTACGAACGTTTTTATGCGCACCTAAAATTTGAAGGATCTCTGCAAATATTTCCATAACTTTAAAAAAAAAAAAATTTTAAGCTGAAAATTTTTATTTATAAAGTTAATAATATTGTATTAATATTGTAAAAAAATTAAAAATTTTTAACAAGTCGTTGCTTTGCAAAAAAATCTAGAAAATGTACTCATTTTTCGAGGTTTCGAAGAGATATGCCCCCTTAAGCACAGAAAATATGGATTTGGCCCCTTACGATTTTGAGACCCGCTCAAATGTTAAAACACGCTCTTTAAGCTTACTTAAAGGAGATTATTTATCGAGAAAATTTCTTCGCGATCGTTTCAGCACACCGGCGCCGGTTCCCAGGGTGGCGGCCAGTCCCTGTCGAGCCCCGGATCCTGCCTGGAGGATTTCCGCGCCACACCGTTCATCGAATGTAACGGCGCTAAAGGACACTGCCATTACTATTCTAATCAGTACAGCTTCTGGATGGTTACTATAGAGGACGGCCAGCAGTTCAGGAGCCCCGAGAAGCAGACTCTAAAGGCGGGCAATCTTAGGACCCGAATAAGTCGCTGCCAAGTTTGTATAAAGAACACGTAAAACACACGTGCGCCACCTTTTATACGCAAAGAGAACACACACACGTACACACACATACACACTCTGTCCACCCATTTTTTTTTACACGAGAATAGAAGCGAAAATATCACTATGATTATAAACGGATAAACGGCGATTGAGACCGGAACGGAATTTCGTCAAAAGTTCAGATCTCGATGTTAGAGATTCCAAGCGAAAACGATCTCTATGTTTATTCGAGACAATTGAAAATGTAACGCGGAAAATTAGACTCGTCGAAATTGCGCCGGTTTCGATCCCTGATAACAAGGAAGAAAAGAGCGGTAACGTCACGCGACGGAACAACGGAATGGAAGTTCGGAGGACTCGCTTGATTCGCGTCGGGAAATAAAGAGAATGACGCATCCCTCTCTTTCTTTCTCTCTCTCTCTCTCTCTCTCTCGTGATTCCCTCTGCCGGATGTGTTCCGCAACCATGTCTTGTCTTCATTATTTCCTATCCCCCCCCATCCCTCACCGTGTCTACATTCTACGTCCCGGATAACTTCTTTCCCCTCGAGAGACGTCCTCCTCTCGCTCGTTACCCGCTCTTTTATCTTCACCCACGAGCGCTTCCTCTTTTTCGCCATATGTGTTTTTTCTCTTTTTTTTATATGTATAACTTTACAAGCAAGTGCCTCTAGCGTACTACTCTAGCATGTAAAATAATATATATTTATATCTCGTATGAATCTCGTATTTTTTTTTTTTTTTTTCGAAGTCTAAGTTTATCGTAACGACACTGCCCATATCCAATATGGCACATTTTACATATTGTATATTAATATAAACGATCTTAGCCTGGTAATCGTGTGACGCCAAATATTTAAATAAATAGGTATTTTGCTACGTAGCTAATAAAATTCTATTTTCAAACTTGACTGACTCATTTTTGCTTGTTTGTATATCCGACCTTAAATAGTGTGTAAGCGAAATTTTTGCATACGTTTGAAACAACGAATAATTTTTATGAGCTCTAAGGAAATGTAATAAAAAAACTGAAAAAAAATTCAATGCACATAGATCTATTAATTTAACGCCCGAGTATTTTGAAAATGGCATAAATGGCGACTGGATATCCATATCGATTATTGTTATATACACATGTCCTTTACACAATTTAATTAAAAAATGCAGGGAAAAGAGTACTTTAATAATTCTGCTCGTAGGAAATATTTTCTCGAGTTCCTTTTTGCGCAGCGCATAATTACTTCAAGACTTTAATTGAATCCAGGAGACGTAAAGCGCCCATTTTATCGTGAGAATAAGAGAGAAATTTATTCCCGCTAATCACTAACGTTAGCGTAGTTTATTTTATCTGTAGATATTGCCATATCTTTTCATTATATAGATAATAATGAGATAAAAATTTGTCAGCACAAATGTATGAGGTATTCGTTAACAAATATGTACATATACAAATGTATTATACATCCACACGAAGAATGTTTAATATATTTCTTAGAGAGTAAAAAATTTATTAATTTTAAAAGTTTTGTTATAAATTTCACATGAATGTATAATTTTGATTTATAATTAATTTTCCAAAAAGTGAACTTATTATGATAGAAATTTTAATTTCGGAGTTCCATTATATACAAATGATGAATAAGTGAATGAGGAATGGCTTGAAATTAAATTTTCGATAAAATTTACTCTACATTCATTAAAGAATTTCTAACTTATGAATCTCTCTCTCTCTTTTTTGCTCTCTGAGCCAAGCTAACTGCGTTTTGTGCATCGTAACACAAGTGTAATTCATTTTCTCATGTCGCACGCAAATAAATTGTCATCGGTGGCGATTTTATGCGTATGCTCAAACGTCATCTTGTTATGGTAATCTCTTCCCTAAGGAAAAAAAAAATCACTAGCGTACTAACGTCAAGCCACTTTAAAGTTTCGAAGGGCTGTCTTCGTGTTAAGAAAGTTAAAATGCTCACGGAATTCTGTAAGAGACTGATCAAGATCAATGTCAGTCAAAAGCCGTTTAACTGACCTGCTGAAAAAGATTTTAGATCTCTTATGAGTTTGGAATTTACGAAATGGAATAAGCGAAAAATAATAATAACAATTCTTTTATATTATTTTATATATGTTTCCTTTAAATAAATATTTTCAATATTTCGATTCCCATGATAACAGGTAACGTATTTATTACGGTGCAATAACATGTGATATTTCTATCACTAAAATCTTTAGATTTTATCGAAACGATTAAAAATTAGTTCGTCACTCGGATAATGTAGCGCGACTATAACTAAAATTCATATTTAAGTATATATAAAATCCGATTTTCTCGAAAATTATCTGAAAATTGTCGATACAAAATCGATATTTCGCTTAATAGATAAAATATTTAATTAGTATTTAATATTAATTACTTACAATAGAATATCTGCGAATATTAATTTTCTCTATATTATATTTTAAGAAAAAAA